ATTGTGTATTTAAACAGTAATGGCCACGTACTGTCTTCAGATAACACCCGTTTTTGTGCAGGTGAATCGATCAAAATCATGTGCACAGCACTATAGTGGCAAAAGTGGTTTTTCACGTGCAACTGGTCACGTGGCCATAATACCGCACGTGGTTTCAGCCATACTTGTTGGCAGTCATTAACAAAAAAAGAAAAACACAAGAAAACAAAAGTTTTTACGGCCATTTGTCATGCCACGCCTTTCAAATGTGCAACGTGAACGTGCCATCGGCATGTTGCAGACGGGAACTTCCGTAGCTGAAGTCGCAAGGACGATGGTTTTAGTCGACGGACTGTTTATGATTTACAGACGCGTCTACAGCAAACGGGTACCACCGCTGATCGCCCTCGGCCAGTTCGACCACGTGTGACGTCACATGCAGAGGATCGTCAGATTGTCTTACGTCACCTCTGTAACCGATTTTTGACGGCTACATCAACCAGAAATGAACTGTTTAGGGGTAGACTCAGTGCGCAAACTGTTCGAAACCGTCTGAGAACTGCTCACCTTCAAGCACGACGGCCATACTGCAGGCCGATTCAATTACACAGACGTCAACGTCAATTGTGGGCACAGCGACACTTACGATGGACTAAGAGGAATTGGATGAGTCGTCTTCAGTGATGAATCCGGATTTAATCTTCGATTTGCTGATGGTAGGGCGAGGGTGTGGAGGCGCCGTTATGAACGTTACGCCCAGTGTTGTGTACAGGAAGTTGACAGATTTCGAGGTGGAAGTGTCATGGTGTGGGGTGCTTTCTGTGGCAATGCACGTTCCAGGCTTCTTGTCATCCGTGGCAACCTCAACGCTGCTGCTTACCGCGACCAGGTACTGGCACCAGAACTTCTGCCTTTTATGGCAGCATATGGACCCGGTTTGATCTTCCAACACGACAATGCCAGACCCCACACAGCAATTTTGACAAGGAATTTCCTTCAGAATGCGGGAGTCAACGTCATGGACTGGCCGTCAAGGTCTCCCGACCTTAATCCCATCGAACACGCCTGGGATGCTCTTGGCAGAAGTCTGCGCACTCTCCAGAACCAACCACAGAATTTGCAAGATCTTGGCACCATTTTGCAGCAACAATGGCGTCGTCTTCCCAATCATGTGTTCACAAGCATCACAAGATCCATGCGGAGGCGTTGTGTGGCAGTTGTCAACGCACATGGTGGCCATACACGCTACTGAACTTGTGTGCCATCAGATTCTCGTGCTGGGGACATATGATTTAAACTGTTGATGTTATTACCGAATACCGTAGGTGCTTGGAACAAATTATAGTTACCATCGTTAATTAGAATCCTTCTTTGGACATTAATGATTAAAAATTACCTTCTCTGATACATTTGTCCGTTGTATATCATATATGGGATTACTTTTAAAAATGTGAAGTTTTTAATTTGACTCAGTATACAAATGTATTTTATATAGGTTTTCGTCTGGGAATGACATTCTGCCTTTGGAGATTGAATTCTAATTAAAACTGAGATAATAATATACATATAAATGTTCTTCATACGAGTCTGAATTCCATCAAAGAAATCAAAGATCGAACTGGAAGTCACATCGTATATGCATTTCATCGCTAAAAACTCTGAGTTGGTCTCCAAAGTAATTTGGGACCATCGACATTTTCAAAGTGAGGGATGTTTTTAGGTTAATTTGCCTATTTGAACTTCGGAATTGGGTGACGGAACAAAGTTCTTGAGAGTAGAAAGATGTCGGAAATGCCATGGGCACTCAGCATCTTCTGTATCCAGGCTCAGGGGAGATGGGGATTACTGCAAAAACAAGATTAAAAGTGTTAGGATTTCGTTACCTTTTAAATCTATCCATTAGTGACGATCTTTTTGCAGAACAAAATCCATATATGGCTTGAAGGAAGAGGTGGTCAGCATTGTGATATGCTGGTTTCTGTATGTCGAATATTTATTTAATCTTTTGTGGTATCCACATAGGTTTACTGTAGTCTTGGCCATATGTGGACACCAAGACATTTTGAATATTGTTTGCGTGAGGGAGTACAAAATCGCATGGATACCTGACAATGCTATTGATACCGACAACCGCCCTTTTGAAGTGGCCTCCTTGGCTAAAGTGACAATGTCTTACCGGGCATGCCGTCATGTGTAGTATATTTCACACATGTAAGTTCTTATTTCTTAAAGGGGCGATCGGGTAGCCTAGTGGTTAAAGCGTTCGCTCGTTCACGCCGGGTTCGATTTCCGACATGGGTACAATGTGTGAAGCCCATTTCGGGTGTTCTCCGCTGTGATATTGCTGGAAGTATTGCTAAAACCATACTCACTCACTTAATTCTTAAAAACGTGTTTAATAAGCATGCGGATAATGCATTTGCACGCTCACATTCCAGCATATTCCACTCACTATGGTAATTGACTTGTCCATTCACAGAGGCACTCGGCATTACGACAGTGCTATATGATATTTCAACCGCCACAAATGTTCCTTTACTTTCAAGACGACATAAGTATACTTCTCGTAGATGTACTTTGTATGTACTGTCGATTCAAATTTCAAATAGGTCATATCCAGCAGTGTGTGGATGTCGTACTAATTACTAGAAATTGTCCGGTGACTTACGACTTGTGTCATTAACCATAAATGAAAATGGCGTTTTACCATCAACAATGAGCCCTATTAGTGGAAACTAGCGACTGGAACGTTTGCACATCAACGACGATGCGATCAGTCATGAAGAGACACAAGAACGCCAATGCCATCAACACTTGGTCACCCAGATAACGGCACATCAACGCTCATGCCATCAAATCAACACTTGATCACCCAGAAGACGGCACATCAACGCCAATGCCATCAACACTTGATCACCCAGACGACGTCACATCAACGCTCATGCCATCAAATCAACACTTGATAACCCAGAAGACGGCACATCAACGCCCATGCCATCAACACTTGATCACCCAGACGACGTCATATCAACGCTCATGCCACCAAATCAACACTTGATCACCCAGAAGACGGCACATCAACGCCAATGCCATCAACACTTGATCACCCAGACGACGTCACATCAACGCTCATGCCATCAAATCAACACTTGATAAACCAGAAGACGGCATATCAACGCCCATGCCATCAACACTTGATCACCCAGACGACGTCACATCAACGCTCATGCCATCAAATCAACACTTGATAACCCAGAGGACGGCACATCAGCGCCCATTCTATCAACACTTGATAACCCAGAAGACGGCACATCAACGCCCATGCCATCAACACTTGATCACCCAGACGACGTCATATCAACGCTCATGCCACCAAATCAACACTTGATCACCCAGAAGACGGCACATCAACGCCAATGCCATCAACACTTGATCACCCAGACGACGTCACATCAACGCTCATGCCATCAAATCAACACTTGATAAACCAGAAGACGGCATATCAACGCCTATGCCATCAACACTTGATCACCCAGACGACGTCACATCAACGCTCATGCCATCAAATCAACACTTGATAAACCAGAAGACGGCATATCAACGCCCATGCCATCAACACTTGATCACCCAGACGACGTCACATCAACGCTCATGCCATCAAATCAACACTTGATAACCCAGAGGACGGCACATCAACGCCAATGCCATCAACACTTGATCACCCAGAAGACGGCACATCAACGCCCATGCCATCAACACTTGACCACCCAGAAGACGGCACATCAACGCCCATGCCATCAACACTTGACCACCCAGAAGACGGCACATCAGCGCCCATGCCATCAACACTTGACCACCCAGAAGACGGCACATCAACGCCCATGCCATCAACACTTGACCACCCAGAAGACGGCACATCAGCGCCCATGCCATCAACACTTGACCACCCAGAAGACGGCACATCAGCGCCCATGCCATCAACACTTGACCACCCAGAAGACGGCACATCAGCGCCCATGCCATCAACACTTGATCACCTAGAAGACGGCACATCAGCGCCCATGCCATCAACACTTGATCACCCAGAAGACGGCACATCAACGCCCATGCCATCAAATCAACACTTGATAACCAAGAAGACGGCACATGAACGCCCATGCCATCAAATCAACACTTGATCACCCAGAAGACGGCACATCATCGCTCATGCCATCAACACTTGATCACCCAGAAGACGGCACATCAACGCCCATGCCATCAACACTTGATCATCCAGGAGACGGCACATCAACGCTCATGCCATCAACAGTTGATCATCCAGAACACGGCACATCAACGCCCATGCCATCAACACTTGACCATCCAGAAGACGGCACATCAGCGCCCATGCCATCAACACTTGACCACCCAGAAGACGGCACATCAGCGCCCATGCCATCAACACTTGACCACCCAGAAGACGGCACATCAGCGCCCATGCCATCAACACTTGACCACCCAGAACACGGCACATCAACGCCCATGCCATCAACACTTGATCATCCAGGAGACGGCACATCTACTCTCATGCCATCAACAGTTGATCACAGTCTAGTCAAGGACGACACCAGTAAATATAGGACACGGCGCATTAATGCCCATGCCCTCAACCATGAACTAGAAGAGGAAGGCACGTCAACGCCTATGCCATCAACACTGATGGGAGACCGCTCATTAACGCCCGAGCCAACTGCATTTGTATATCATATACTCACCCCCATCTAATTACAAAAAATATATTCACCAATAGTAAAGTATAGTATTATGAAAATATCAACAAAGGCTGTTGATTCTGTGTTTTGAGGGAAATTGCAGTTTCATCAATCTAAAATTATGTTCTTTGTTAAAATACCCAGAAGCAATACATGTTCGGTATAGTTAGATGCTCCGGGAAGTTGGTGCACGTGATTTAGAGTGGTATTTGAAACAGACTCATCGCTTTGGAATTTCCACTGGCATCACTGTGTTTCATAAATTCACAGGAGGAGTTGATTCCACGGAGCGGTGCCATGTCCCAGCCAAGCCGGAGGTGGTATGGTGAGTATGAGCAAATTAGTACAATGTGAGCTAGCTAACAGCAAAAAGGTGCAGAAAACATTTTGTGGATGGAGCATACCGGCATTTTATCCACATTACCTCGTACGTGTATCATATGGGAATTGGGCGTTTTATTGGAACATTGTGATACTCTTCTGATAAATACGTGCGACTGTACATGTGCCTGTGTTATTTTCGATAAATCTGACAATATCACGTTACCAGTGGATTGGTTGGTTGGTTTGTTGGTTTGTTGTTTAACGCCGCACTCAGCAATATTCCAGCTATATGACGGCGGTCTGTAAGTAATCGAGTCTGGACCAGACAATCCAGTGATTAATATCATGCGAGTCAGCGAGTCTGACCACCCGATCCCGTTAGTCGCCTTTTACGACAAGCATGGGTTGCTGAAGACCTATTCTACCCCGGAATCTTCACGGGCCACCAGTGGATTGAAGCTGGTCGTGTTGTTGTCAGTTTAGCAGCACGATTCATAACATAGTTCATGATACATGAACATAATCATTACCTCTTAATATATTGTGTTTGTTTGTTTCTTGTTTAACGCTGCATGCCGCAATATTCCAGCTATATGACATCGGTCTGTAAATAATCGAGTCTGGACCAGACAATCCAGTGATTGGTTGACATGATGATCATCGATCCACGCAATTCGGACACGATGACATGCATCAACCAAGTCAGCGAGCCTGACCACCCGATCCCGATAGTCGTCTTTTACGACGAGTATGGGTTGCTGAAGACATTTTCTAACCCGGTTCTTTACGAGTTTGTTTATATAGGTTGTCGTTTAGTCTTTATTTCTTGGCAAAGGCATTATTATTGTATTTGGTAGGGTAATACATGCTTCTATCAAATAACACCTGCATGGTATAGTTATTGTACATATTGTTAAATGCGCTCGCGGGGGTATCATTATTTGTGTCTCCATAACAACAACAAAGGAACTGATTCCGCTCATTGGAAAGTAAACATGCAGCAATCACACACCACGTATAGGCTACTAGTTACTATGCTGTCGGACATTAATTAATAACATGCGTGTGGTGTCATCTTAAATGCTGGTGAAAATAATTGTGGTATACATATTCATCACCTGTGAGTGTGTGTCTGTTAGTAGGTGTGCTGGTCCCAAATGGCCCCATATTTCTCCGGCCCAAAAGACCTACCCGGCCCCGCCCAATCCAATTTGAGAAAATAAAGGGACATTGAATTGTAATGATAGTTTAATGCGCCGTTGTTTGAGAGATGGCTCATCAGCCTCCACGTACAGGCTATTGTTAGGAAATGTTCTGAAGGCACCAAGGCAACGACTTAGGCCTTGTTGATGAGCATTATACAATATTTTTTTATAAATATCCAATATATAATTATTTTACAGGTTCCGCCATAAACGACGGAACCGTAATGAAGTTTAGAGCGTATCGGGGTTCCGTACATTTGAAGGAGGACCTTCTGATCCACTTGGAATTGAAAACAACTTTTGATATATCAAGGGCCTTCAGACATTTATTCTTTAAGTATTTAATGTGGTACAGAAAGGTCTTTGTGAGGTTTCTGTTTTCTACAAAAATGAATATAGTTTGTTTAGATTTTGAGAATTTAAAACCGGCATTTTTAACAAATGATTCTGAGCGAACCAAATGATCGATGGTACTTCGGTTCTTCCGGAAACCACATTGTGTATCAGTAATAACATTGTTGGTTTCTTTGTACCAAAATAGTCGATTATTTATCATGCGTTCATGGTTTTGCTTACGCAGCTTGTCAATGATATTGATCGGTAATGTGAAGGGTCTGTATGATCTCGCCCGGGTTCGGGTATTGGTACGTCTAAATTTCGTGAAACATACCCAAGCGTGTTTCTGACGATGATACTGGTAAGTGTTTGAAGGAGTTGATATTATGTTATCAGCTCCTGTTGCAGTTTCGTCAGCCTGTCCAAGGGCAGTTTGCATCTCATGAATAATAAATTTATACTTTTGGAATTAAGGTACATGGTTAGACGAGGGAGAGTGTTTAGCCAACATTTCACAAAGTTTATCAGCAATATCTCATTTGTGAGTTAGTAATTTGTCCCCATTTGTAGGATGATGAATACTAGATTTAACGCCCTCACCTTTGATTTTTTGGATCATGTTCCAAACCTTGGACATGGGCGTTCGTGAATCTTTTTAAGACATAATTTAACCTTTGTTTAAATTACGCCGTGTTTCAGCGTTTACAATTTTAGTTTTAGCAACAATAGTGTGGCGACGGAAATAAAGCTCCTCCTTCCTAGCTTGTTTACAGTCACCGTTTAACCTCGGGGTTTACGTTTGTGGGGATTTGCTGAAGAATTTAAAACACAATCGTCAGCTAGTTTGTTTTGTTCATCAGAAAATCATTGCATAGGGGTCACGAACGTCAGTACAGAGATCAGGTTTGGCGGTGCAAAGAATATCATATAAAGGCCAGTTGGTTTACTAAAGTTCCATCGAGGTGATGGAGGAACACCAGATGGGGTAATAGGGTTTAGAATGGTCAGAAAGTGGTCCCTTCCACAGAGGTCGCCTGGGACGGCACAGAGAGAGCACTGAGTAAAAACATTGCATGGTGATACGAACTGCGGTAGCCTGAAGACGGGTTGTGAGAGGAACAGGACTCAATAAATCCCTGCCTCACCAAGATTGAAGAACATCCAGTTGCCCAGCCCCTGGAGGTGAAAAGAAATTATATGAATTATATCGTCTAATGTTAAGCTGATCTGTAAGTCTAAAGTATGTTTCCTGTAATCTAAAGTTGGATGGCTACAGATATATAAAATTGTTCTTTAGGCCTCAGCAGTTCCACTGTGTTAATGGATTAGAAGTGTTCATGGTAGTTCTACTGGGGATCATGACAGGGATGGAGGTCTAGTTCCATGGCCTGTTTGAGATGGAGTGACCTCCATCGCCAGAGGTTCAAACTGGACCGGGAAGAAGGCACCTCCAAGTGATGAAGGGCCCTGACCGGATTTTTATTATCATATTGTTTCGTTAAATGAAATCTCCTTGAATTGTTAATTAATTATTCCAGTTCTATTGTTTCATTTGAAGGCTGTGGTGATTTTAGATCCTCCGTCTGTGAGGCTGATGTTGCTTTTATTTTATCATCTGGAGATGCTTTTGAACTTTTATATCTACTAGCATCTGCTGATCACGAAACGAAGAGATGGTTGTTTGGCATCCTGAAGATGCTGCAGCAAATTTGACAATAGGATGGGAAGTTACTACTGCTGAGAAGGATTTAGTAGAAGTATTTGCGGAATGAGATTGAACACTTTTTACCATCATGAAAAGAGACATAGTTTTTTTTTAAATCTTTGATTGAAGGACAAAATATGGACACAGTTTGGATGAGGCCAAGTGTTCCCAATCGCAATGTGCACAATTATTTGCGTCTGTGCACTCAGTATTCTCATGTGAGCCGCTGCAGTGGATACAGACTGTGCTGAAGGTGCAGGTTTTGGCACCGTGCCCAAAATTTTGACGGAGTGGGTTTGGTACATAAACCTCCACTCCCATATTAAAATACAAAGTTGTGAAAGATTCAGGACTTTTAGAAAAGAAAAAGTAAAGATGTGTATGTTTGTCTTGATATTATTGTCAATTTGTTTTCTTGTGAAACGTATGACAGCTGTAACACCTCGGTTTTTTTCCAATTCTGTAACATTCTTATTTTCACTCGTGCCATTGACGGCCTTGGAAATGGCAAACAGGTTTAGTTTCATGGGTTGAAGATCTGATGCTTCGATTACAATGAATCGAGCCCAGGAATCTAATTGCACTTCAGTCTCTTCATCAGACAAGCTAGCATCTAAGTGTTTTCTGTTTGAGCCAGAGTGTTTTATAGAGATAATGAACTAAAGTGGTTCTGTACCGGTTGCTCCCCACCCACCATCGAGTGTCAACGAGGACGGTGTCTTATTGCATTGGATATCCAGAACGCAAAACACCAGGGCTACAGGGGTGGTATACTCCAGTAAATATAACATGAATAGCTAGGCTGGTTCTGCCCATAACAATATTTTAGAGACGTACAATATTCAGTAGTCAACATTACAAGATAGGCCCGTGAGCCACCTCCTTCTTGCACAGGACTCTAGTCTGTATATTACATCAATAATTAGGGTTTTCAAAGACCAAGACCAAGCAAAACATTTGTGAAAAACAAAATACAGTTGTGTACAAAAAGAGTACCCCGAGCCCCACGGGCCCATACCACAAGACGTTATATTAATTAAAGGATGGTACTTATTGTTATCCTGCCAAGCACTCGGAGTTAAGTGGTCGACTGGTCAGCTCGGAGTCAGGTTATTGTATCTGAGTGGGGTATTTATGTTAAACTGTCGCATGGCATGTCAGTGGGCTAGCAGAGTTGAGGTGAGGTGAGGTGAAATGGGGTTTAACGTTGCGTCCAAGCTTTCGCTTACGTGCATGTACGTGTATGTGTCTGCTTGTACTAGTCCCGACTGATGCCGATTTATAGTGCTAGCCCACTGACATGCCATGCGACAGTTTAACACGAACACCCCACTCGGACACAATATACTGACTCCGAGGCGAAAAGTCTTTGTTTTTAAAGTACCATCGTTTAACGTCTTTCGGTATGACGCGCCCGGGGATCGAACCACGGGCCTTGCGCTCTCCGGGCAAACGCACTACCTTTAGACCACGGAGGCGGTCAGACACATTCACACACACACATACACACACAAGTGCAAGCACGTCACTATATAGGTGAAATAATCTTTGACGCGATGTTAAACCCCATTTCACCTCACGTAACCTCACCCTGCAGCGAATTAGGTGCACGAACAGGAAATAACAAACATGGTCAATAAAAGTGTCAAATTTGCGATAAAACATCACTAGACATGATGATTTACTATTAAAATTGTATTTTCAGTCCTGCTAAGCATTGTGTTATATGCATCGATTGAGATTATCGAGTGTATT